TATGAATTTTTAATCGTGCACGTTCGCGATGCCGCCTACCAGAATCCGGGATTTTCCACCTTACGTTCCGAACGTGGAATAAGATGCGAATCTACAGAATACCGTTAAAGTACCATGCATGAGAACGTGACACGAAATACTCATTGCAAAGGAGTCAACCGAACAGTATGTGTTATGTAATCGCAACATCTGTCACGGTTAGCAATCCCGTTTGTTTTCGTTTCCGTCAATTTGGAGCAAATGCAATCTATGCTGTATAGCGTGTATAGCAAATCTAAAAGGCAAATGGAAAAATATATATCCTGATGTATTTTATGATCATACTCGCAACAAGCTCATCTTCATCTCTTTAATAGGTCTAGACTGTAGATTTAATAGGTAGACTGAGAAAAAACGTTGTTAACTTGACCAAATTAGTTTAATTTGTTTTTATATCTTTCATTTGTGAGAATGTGTGTATTTAGTTAAATAAAGACGAGCTAAACTAACTTAGTCAAGTTAATAACTTTTTCTCTCAGTGTTTATTTTAGCTATATCGCAACGGTTTTATTCGTTATAACGAATATCATCACTAAACCTTTAAGACTTTATTTACGTCTTGAGATGTACGTTTGTGTTGGGTTAGACGTGACGAGGACGCGATAAATCTCTCTTTGTCCCAAAAGGATGCGGGTCGGTGCACCCGTCATGCCATTTCTACTGAATATTTGAGCAATTTCTACGTCCGCGGTTGGTTTACACTTGTACCACATCCCTAAAGTCATTCACATGCGTCTTCGCCCATCGAAAAACGCCCCTGGGATCGTCTGCGACTCTCTCTCTCTCTCTCTCTCTCTCTCTCTTCTTCTTCTTCTTTTTCCTCTTCCCCTCTATTTATTTACCTATTTATTTATCGACTATCTTTCTTCCTCTTTTTTTCTCTATTTCCTATTTCTGATCATTTGCTGCGCATTGAAGGACGAATGATATCCGATAGTACAGTTGGATAAACGCGCAATGGGAAAGACCGGTCTTACTCTATACATAAAATATGAATGAACTGGCAAGTGCATTTCTTGCAGGAAGAACTTGAGAAAATTCCTTCGCCGTCATTCGCAACGAGTGACGCGTATTTTATTTCCGTAGACACGCCGGCCATAGACATGCCAGCATAGATGGAAATAAGCGGAAAGTGTACAAATAAAACAATTAGTGGTATTCTGCTTTGTAAAAATAAAAGAATGTACGTATTGAAAAACAAAGCTCGAAAATAAAATTACGTATGAGATTATATATGATTATATTATATATGAGCGCAAAGTTTTTGAAGTTAATCAGAAATGAGAGAAAGGCAAACACAGACGTTATGATTTGATTAAATATCGTTCCTAACGCTGTACTATCGATAATGGAACAAGAGCTTAGGTAGTTCCCCGCCGATAAAGTTCTTAGAGCTCTGTTTGAGCGTGCAACTAACAGCTCGAAGCATCACCGTGGTGCAAATTCAATTCCTCCTTGATCGACAAGGACTTAACCATACCACTGTCGCAAACACAATCAAAATTTCTGTTACGGAACATCTACGATGATTAAGACTATGTAGAAATCGATTAATTGGAAATCAGCGCGAAAGGAGCGAATTAAATAGAGCAAATTAAATGGCCATTGATCAATTAAGAATATACTATAAAAAATATAGAAACGATTCGAGAAACTTATAGCGCTTCTTTCGATTGTTCTAGTCCAGTCTGTAATGCCAATTTACCGGTAAATTTAGTTCACTTTTCGGTAATCGAAATAAATTCAATGAGCCACTCAGAGACATTAATAGTATAAATAGAACTGGATCAATTACTGCAATTTCCTAACTTGGAAATGGCTGAGGAAAGTTTATTGTTACTGTTTCCTAAGCTCATCGATGAAGACTGTCGAGTGTCATCCCTTTTGCTCAGACTATTCCCTAGCGTGAAGTTTCGCAACGACCCTTCTACGTGACACTTTCGCGAGAAACTTAAAGTTTGACAAGTGGAAGATATATTCTTGAGAGGCGGCATTGTTCTTAAGTGATTGCCTAGAAACGGCATCGTTTACAAATAGACCGGTATTCAAAGTTAACCCCAAAGTAACACGCCATATTATAGGTATGCCTGCAATTAGTCGTCAAAATCATCACTGTTTTAATTTCTATTCGATTTTGTCGAGCGTCTTGTCGTTGAGATAAATAGGTATATATCCTCTGGTGTATCTCTTGTAAAGTGTTTTAATAAACCCAGTTATTCAAAATATATCTCTTTCAAAATATTGCCGGCCTTTATGAAGAGGAGGATATACCTAATGCTCTTAAAGTTCTCAGCGATGAAATTTACATATTAAAAGTTAAGTAGCTACTTTAACAGTAATGGACAGAGCTGGCGTATCAGGGAGTTGAAGTGAATTTGGAAACGACCACTAATCTGTTGGACTAACCGTCCTTCGTCATGTAAGCGAACAATGGTGCTGTAGAACTTTGAAACATGCTCCATCCATTTTAGTAGTTTTCAGAGGATCAGCTCGATCGGTAGTTGTTCAAAATCTAGTTTCGCGAAATTTAGTGTTTATTTTACAAACACTTTTAAAGTGCCGAAACATTAAAGACACATTAAATAATTATTTGCTATACACTGGAAAAAGAGTTGGATTAATTGGAATTCTAATTAAAAATGAGCGAATTTTCCGAATCTATTATGATTCTATAATAATTAATAAAATCAAAATTTTGAACGATATGATTAGAATCTTCTAGTTCATTCATTTTCAATGAAAAATTTTTCTTAATATAATTATATGGAATTGATTGTAATTAAAAATACACAGAAAGAGTAGTTTTGCTGAAATATTTAAAAATTTAACTGGATATACTAAAAATAATTTTGTTGGACTATTAAAATAATTATGTAAGACGCTCAAAATGGTTAGAATTTTTTACAGAGCATTGCTCACCATGTTTAAGTTTTCTATATAATTATTTTGATGTCTAACACAATTATTTTCTGATCTATATTTACTTACATTTTTAAATACTTCATCAAAATCGTTCCGTCTATAACGTCAAATTAATTACTGTTTTTATTTAATTCTTTTCCATTGGTAAACAGCATTTGCAGAGTGTAAAGTACGACACTAATACGTATCGCATTAATACTATTTTTATTGTTCTTACGATTAAAATGTGTGGTGCAACGAATAAATAGTATATATCATAAGGTTTGATACTATTATTGCGTTATAGCGTCAGCTTTTCCTGTGCATACGCACAGACCGCCGTGAAATCACCGCAGCAATAAATCCGATATCACCGTGTTCCCGATGGATCTCCGATTGAACCAAAAACATTTCGGTTCCACTTTGGTGAAACCATTTTTCGTTTAAATTCTCATTGAAATCCGTATATTTATGGACGACACGTCGATACAAGCGGGAGAGGGGCGCATTGAACACACCAGATTTACGATTAAACTCTCAGTTGAATATGGCTGACGCGGTCAAAATCGGTCATTCTATCGCAACGAGTCGAGAGCGGACAGAAAGTGTGTTTTAATTCTGTTTGACACCATAATCGAACTTTAAAGCTGTTAATCCGGTAAATTTCGAGAGATTTGTTTCGAAAAGAAATGCAATCAAATCGTATTATATTTCAATATGCGAATACCTACGTTATTCTTTTTCCAATTCCATTTTACGCGTGGCTGCGTCATAAATAATAGCAAACAGGATTGATAGCACTGGTTGTAACTTTTTTTTTTACATCGCGCATATGACGCGAGAGAAATGCATGTTATTTTTGCGAAAATAATTTTATAAAGCGAGATAGATTTATAGAGGGATATTACGTGTTTCATGAAATTGTGTCTGATGCCATAATCGGAATGCGCGTTTGTGGTCTTACAAAATCTCATAAACTTCACAGAGAATTCAGAAGGAATGAAATATTACGAATATTATATGAATAACAATACATTATTATCATTTACGTAATACATTCTTATTCAATATTAATTTTTATATCGTTCTTTTACTTCAAAAGTAGTACAATTAAAAAAACATAATTTTCAAATTATTACTACATATGAATGAGTTAATTAAATATTATCTTATCTCAGGCTTGGTTTTTTATTTTTTGATTAATTAAAATGATTTAATTTTAACCTCATTTAATATGATAATGTAAAAATTGCATTTTTCTACACTGAAAAAAATGCATGTAATTTTACATGGAAATTACATGTATACGACTGGAAAATTATCTAAATTACATAAATATGCTTGGAAATTTA